GGGGGGGGGCAGATCCTCACGGCGGCCCGTCTGAGCCGTCTCGCGGAAGCGGTGCCCCTGGGCCAGGCGATGAAGACTTGGAGGCTTGGCTACAGCATCGCCAGGGACGGCGCGAGCTTGTGGACCCTGCTGCAGAACTGCCGGGGGAGGGGGCCGTGAGTGCTCTAGGATCATTTGTTGTTGCCTTAGCTTTTTGGCCTAGTTGGCTTGTGTTGCCGTTGGCGTGTCCGTTGGCGGTGGCGGTGGGCTCGTGGATTGGATCGACTCTCGAGAGAGATTTTCGTACGACTCGTGGTTGGCAGGTTTGTGGTGGCCTGGAGCGATGCTGGCAGGTAGGTCTAGACGGGTTTGCTGTGGCTGTTTTTCGTGTTTATCGTTGCACGACCATGTCTTTTTTTTTTTTTTTTAAGGCACGTGCTTATACGGCTATACGCGCTGTTACTCTTGCTGCTCGTGTCGCCTTGTTATCAAAAAGACTGTTACGGCGGCCTCTGCTCAGTCCCCAACACCCGTATCGGTGTAACTCACGGCGACGGCTTCCGTGCTCACGGACGAAATACCCCCCAAAAGGGTACACACACACGTTAGGCGAAACAAGATTATGTGTACGGAAAGAGAAAGAGATTGACCGAAACCGAGGGCGCGACGTCTGATTTTGATGCGACATGGTTTATCTGGATTCATTCACATCAGCACCGTTTGATGTTCTCGCAACCTCCCCCGTTGCCGTTGTCTCTATCTCTCGCGCGCGGCGTTTGTTCAGGTGTCTGATCGTGGTGGAGGATAGCTGGGGGTACGTCTTCGGCGGCTTCGTGGCCGGCTCGATGAAGGTGCGCAGCACAACGCACCCTACAGCGGTTGGTGACCCGATTTTGGCGACTACGGGACTTTCGAATGTATTTATAGGGGTGGTTGTCGTGTTGCCTACAAGCGTGCGGTTCTCAGGCCAACTTGTACTCCAGACAATGTTGTCAGAACTCACATAAGCTAGCGCCACAACTTTCATTCAATTTCGGACAACACTCAAATGGTCACACACCGAAATACAATTAGGGACCTGAAAACTTCACTTCTTCCAAGGAAAAACTAGGTAGTGCGCACAGTGCAGCATGCATGGTTCACACTCATCCTCCCTGCTTGCTCGAGTTTTTTCCCACTGTGCAAGCCCCCAGCCGCTCATGGCCGCTAGAGCGAACCCTCATTTGTTGTTTCTGGAGCTTCTAGCGCTAGCGCTGATCCGATGTGCTGTAGTTCCAAGACAACGCCTCATATTTCACCTGGTGTTTGTTGTTCACGGAGGTCGGTGCCAGACTTCAAAACTATTCCGACACCTCCGTTCTAGCCGGTAAACCAGTCAAAAATATTCCTGTTTCCTTTTGCTGACCCCCCCCCCCCCCCCCCCCCCCCCCCCCCCCCCCCCCCCCCCCCCCCCCCCCCCCCCCCCCCCCCCNCGACGTTGTAAAACAAGCCAATTCACTTCGCGAACTCGGCAACCAGGGTACCGTTTTGTTTTTTTTTAACCTCCGGTTTTTTTTTGGCGGTAACCATAATGGTGGTCGAGTAGATCATGTTGTGCGGGGTCGAGAACCCTCACTCCGCGCAAGGGGGATGATCGCACCACGTTGTGTTAAACTGGTCAAGCACCCTCGAGACAGTTGCACAGTGCTTACAACTGTCAGGAAGTGAAAGCACCAGAAAATAAATGAAGTCATACGCAGCTGTCATCCGTACGCAAGG